TGCCCAGAGACTGACCTGATCTATATAACCCCTCACAGGTGTGCCCATCGATGACCTAAGTTGGATAACCCTTTGCAGGAGTGCCTAGAGACTGACAATATTATCTTAAGGTCCGCCCAGAGGCTTGTTTTGTGGGTGGTTCTAGGTCCTGTCTAGGTGACAGTCAATGCTCATAGATGCTTATCATGGCTTCCTCACTTGTGGCAGAAAGTGGCCATTGGTGTGGGTTCTGGGGAACAGAATCGAGGGGCTGCTGGTCTCCACACACTGGGAGAGGACATCATGGAGGAAGAGTGCTTGGCATTCTGAAACCGTCAGCCAAAATAAACTGCCCAGCCTCATTCCTGTTGAGTGCTTTGGTCACAGTGGCAGTAATAATGAATACATTCGTGCACAGGGTCGGGGAGATTGCTGAGTGCTCTATGGAGAGCTGTGGTCGCTGTGTGAGCTCCCGTAACCTCAGTGGTGTTGGGGATGGAGACGGGAGCATTGCTGGGCCTGGCTGGCTGTGGGCCGAGCTCCAGGCTCAGTGAGGGACCCTGTCTCACAGGAATAAGTCTGAGAGTATCACAGCAGCACACCAGGCCCTCAGCCACACATGAACCTATTTGTACAATACACACTCAGACATTAAAAACCCAAATCAATTTGTAGTTATGACTGTGAGAACTCAGGGACTCACCCCAGTCATGGAATCCACAAAGTTTAGAGCTCAAGGGTCACTGACAACATCCTATGGATCCAGGAATCAGATCTGAGGCCGACTCGAAGATTTTAGCCTACAGAAAACAGCCCTGTGACCCTACATAACTGGCATGGCCTCTCTGAGCCCAGTTTCTTCATCATCTTTAATATGTAGACCAAAATTCCCCCCTCAAAGATGTGGGGAAACAGATCAGCATAACAGTCACAAACCGAAAGCACCCTGCACATAGTAGGTCTTCTACAGCTGGCGCTGTGGTTCGTTCGTACACGCTACTGTCACGAGGAACATGTCTGCATTGACATCACAGCCTTGGAAATGGCTACATGGGTTTACAGTGGATCTCGAAAAGCAGTTGTAGCGATCTGAATTCAGTCCCCTTACCCAGCACATGGATTCAGAGATCCCCCACTTCAAGACCTGGAGCCTGTCTGGGAATGTTGAGAACTCTAGTAGGAAGATGGCATTGAGAAGTCAAAGGGAAATTGAGGCTCACTAGAGGGACGTGTGCTCCACGCCCCCTTTCTAGCCTGTCAGGCCTTCCACAAAGTCAGCAAAGACCGTGGGTCCACAGGAAGTCATCAGAGGTGCGTCAGATGTGAGCGTGGCCTTGGGGGCCTCCCAGGCTTACTATTAGGGTGAAATGGCCCGGATAGGATTGGGTGGACAGGACGCTATCTCAGCAGGCCGTGATGTGCTGGGCCAACAGAATACACCCATAAATAGGCCAGCCTTGGAGGCAGGCCAGTCTGGGGACAGCTGGTCCTGGAGGCAGGTTTGTTCCGGGCTGGGTGAGGATGGGGGGAGTGCCGCACTGTGTGAGGTGCAACCGTGGGTCTCTATGAGTGCGCGTGGCTGGTGTTTGACTCATCTGAGGGTGGGGCTGACCTCCAGGACCCATGACTGCCTCTAAGCGTGGCCACAGATGAAGCTGGGGACCTGTAATGTCTGTGGGTCTGAGCATGAGGTTGGATCCCAGCTGTGTGTGGGGGCTCAGAACCGGGCTGCCTAGGACTGGGTGGCTCCGAGAAAGGGAAGGTATAGTGGGGCATTCCCACGAGGTGGGCTGAGCCCTGTGTCCACTGATGCTGGTTAGATGTGGAGCAAAGCTGCTGGCACGATGGACCTCACATCACTGTGCCAGGACAGGTCATAAGGGAGGCAAGGGTCAGGGACAGGAGTGTGTGCAGGACAGTATATGTGTGCATGTCTGTACACCCATGCTGGTGTCTAGAAAACCTGGGTTCCGTGTCTCTGCACCTGCAGGCTAAGAGAGACTGTCAGGGTCCACTATGCAAGGGCCTGGAACACAGCAAACACTCAGTAAGATTGTGTTGTGGGTAGCCAGCTTTATGCCCTAGGATGGTTTCACAGACCTAGTCTATTCATACCTGATAGGTCTGTCTGTCTGTTTCTCCTGTCTGCTGTGGTCTGCTGTTCACGCTGGCTGTGGTGTTCAGTCTTGGGCAATGAGGCTTCAGAGGGCCTTGGAGATACCAAGCCCTTTGAAGGGAGCATTTTGGGGTGTATGTTGGGGGGAGTGCCTATCCAATCCGAGTTCTTTCTTCACTGTGGCCTCAGTAAAGTGGTCTTGATTTTCTGAGCTCCTGAGACTTCCCAATCCCACTAATTGGCTCAGATGCGTGGCCCAAAGCAGGTGCCTAGGGGGTGTTTGCTGAATGACTGTAGATCTTGATCTGTGTTCATGAGATGTGGGCAGCAAAGGCCTCACTACTGTTTGGTTCCAGCCACATTTGATGTGGCTGTTACTGCTACTGCTGCGTGGAGCTTGTGACCCCGTTCCCTTCCAGCGTGAGGCAGACGCATTCCTGGAGACATGGCAGAACAACACGGTGCACCAGAGCAGGCTGCAGCTGGCAAGAGCCATGGCGGCCTTGGGGGCAGCTACAAGGTACAGGGGTCTTCACAGAACCTCGAGCCCAGGGCTGAGGACAGCAGCTGGGTCAGTGGAGCACAGGGCCACCAGGAATCCAGGGATGTAGCTTCTTTTCTGTGTGACTTTGTTGGTGTTTCTTGATGCCTCTGGGTGTTGACATCTTTAAAATGGAAGTGATGTCCCCAGTCCCAGAATTGGCATGAAATAACACAGGTGGCAGAAGCAGGGGCTGGAAGATAGGAGCAATGTGATATAGCTGACTCTGACCCT